TTTTCTTTCCTTGATATGCCTTAGGTGTTAGTTTCATAGAATGTATTTGGAGTGTTCCTTTCCTTTATAATTTCATGGAATAATCTTTATGGAAAAATGACTTTAGTAATGTCAAGGACCTTTTGGCTATAAAATTCTGAATTTTTGGAGAATAGACAACTCTCAAGGTTAAATGTATATAGTCAGAATATAAGAGAGGACCCGTGGTGGGAGGACTCTCAGCTGAGCACAGAGCTCTGAGGTTACATGGTACTCATGGGGTGGCGTGGGTGAGCACCGTGGGACCAGACGGTGGTCCCAGGAGGTGAGGGTGCTGGAGTCTGCCCCAGAAGAGGAAATCACGCAGCACTACCAGAGGGTGAGTTTGATTTCAGTGGTGACTGAGTGAACTGCATGACCTTTGCTGAGGACACCGGCGTGGATTCACATCTCAGTGAGGACAGAGTGTGCATCAGTAAGATGATGAAGGTGCTTGGCTTGCTCTGCTGGTACCTGGTGGCTGCTGGCTCTTACTGAGCACAGTCTCGAATGAATGAAGAAGAAAATGACCAAAATTCACAGTATTAATATTCTATAATGGGAAAACCTTTCACGCTTCTATTTCCTATTTGGAGGATTTTGAAGTGGTATTTACAGTGCTGAAGGGTTCTTGGTCCTTCTGGATGCACTGTGGATAACATCCATCCGCCTCTGAATTCTTCCACTTGCATCCCGTCTCCCAGGGTTGGAGCCTCTTGCCTTGTGCACTGTAGTCTGTGACTGGTCACATGCCTCTGCCCATGTGCTGTCCTTTATTGGGAAGAATTCTTTGGGCCAACTGGCTGGTGTGGAGGCTTGTTGGTGACAGTCTCTCTGAGTCCAGAGTTCTGTAAGGACCTGTTTGTCCAAGCACTGCCAGCACCAGGTGCAGAGCTGGTCACATATAACTTCACAAGGACAATGTTGGATGACCTAAAACACGTGCCTGGAAGTTGCTGTGGACCTGCCTCCTCCTGCAGACCCTGATCCCGTAGGCTGATCTCCCTTTGCCCCTTGCACCGTGCCCTGGTGACTCCCTCGCTCTGACACAAGGCCTGGCATGGCTAAGGCTGGACTTTCCGTTGCTGATAGTTTGCATAGGTATTTCATTCAGAAAAACTGCCAGCGTATTCTTTTTTTTTTTTTTTTCAAATATATTTTGTACTCGAGGACTGTGGAAGACAGGGGACCATTATAAGGCATTATTGCTTCCTGGACAGGCTATTGGCATCCTGTAATTTTATTCCTTGAGTTTGGAGCTCAAAGTTGAACGTCTAGAGACTGATGCAGGGTAGGAGGGAACCCGGACCTCTCCATTCACACTTCTTCACATAGTGAAGCCTAAGAATCCAGCCATTCCTTCCAGTTAGGGGATTTCAACGCCCAGCCCACACCGTGGACACCTGTGAAGCCTGCAGGGTCCCGGATACTCCGTGAGTCGCTGCCCCTTCACTTCACCTTCCATCAAGCCACCCCAAGTTCAGGAAGCTCAGTGTAGGTCACCTGAAGGTCAAGCAGCTCTTTGCCATAAAAATTAACAGAATACATTTGCATTACAGTCTAGTTCCTGGTCTTCCACTGGTTTGTTCCCTGTAGATGAGGAATGCTGGGGATTGCATAAAAATTTAACATTCTAAGAAATACATTCTCTGGTAGAATCAAAGGGAGTTTGTTGAGTAAATTTGGTATCATGAAAATCACCACAAGCACATTACAGAGCAGGTATCAAAAAGGCCACGTGTGATCCAGATGGTGTGCCTTGATACTCAGACCTTCAGGTGAGGGATGAGGGGACGAAGAACACTCCGCTGTGGGGAACAGCAGGAGGGGGGGCCGCAGGAGTCGAGTGGCTCCCCCCTCTGAACACTGCTTAGAAGTGGGTGAGTTAGACCCGCAGCCTTGACCTGCAGGGATGGAAACTGAACGGCAAGGTCACATCCTTTCAACTGATGTCACCGCAGTGCCCTGGACGTGCCCTGATTGGAGCATGACACAGAAGTTGGAAAGAGGAGTTTCCAGAGAAAGGAGTTCCCCTAAGCTTCTAAACAGGGTGCCGCGGACTTCCCATCAGCACCCGCACTGGTCAGGCCAGGCAAGGGGATCGGACGAAGGAAGCCTTACTGGGAAGAAGCCCGACGTGCACGAGGTTGTGCTGCATGGAAGTGATGCTCTGTAGAAAAGCAAAATGCCGGGGACTGGGCAGCCACACAGCACCACACGCAGCGAGGGCCTGGTGTGGGGAGGCCCATAGGACACCGTGCCTGCAATGGACACCCTCAGCCACAGTGACCCCTGGGATGCCCGTGAACAGCTCAGGGCCTCCTAAGGAGCGTGGGAGGCTGGCTCCATGGTGTCCTGTGTTTCTACCTGGCCTTGTCCTCCCTCTGGGGCTGCAGGGTTGGAGAGGCTGGATCACCTGGGCGGTCAGAGCAGTGCTCTGTGAACGGGGCTGTGGCCAACACCTTGTATCGCTCGCTCTGACCCTGGTTCCACCTTGTGCTGGCCTGTGCCGTGTCCTGGTGGCCTGGCCCTGAGGCCCCGTTGCCTCATCTTCAAGACAGCAGTGGTGAGTGTGGGGGCCTCCCAGGCTCTACCCCCAGGACGGTGCTTTTGTAAGCGGATGGGTAGGCAGGACCAGCGGCAGCACGTGCTCCCTGGGCCACATGGGGAATGAGCTGCCCTTGTCAGCCCCCTCTGTAAAGGCCCTCGGCTCCAAAGTCAGCAGCAGGCAGATGTCCAGTTTGAGACCAGAATCTGCTATTTTAAGACCACTCATCTTGCAGCCTCTGAGACTCCTCAACCAGCTCAGGATTCCAGGCACGGCCCTCTTTGAGCCCTGTGATCACCGAGGAGTTGGGTGCAGTGTTTATGTGTCTAACTCACCATCATGAGCAGCTGCAGTTTTATTAGCATGGGACGTGATTGGATCACACATTAAAGCTTGTGCCACAGGACATTGCAGCCTACAGCTGTGTTCTTAAACCTGCCTGTGTATCCCAGCAAGCCTCCCCACCACCCATGCATGATCTCTGTCTTCCTGTTACTCATTTGTGTTCCTCAGATTCTTTTCTAGCACTTGGAAAACAGAAAAATAATAGAAGAACTGGAAGATTTAAAAATAGTCATTTGGAGGAAGAGGTAGAGTAGAAAGTGCTTCCCCACTTGAGGTGATCAAAGAAGTCAGAGCTGGGAGACGTAGGAGGAGGAGGGCAGGCTGACGGGGAGTGGGTGGCCAGGCTGAACCACAGACAGACAGGAGGGAGGCCACAGATCAGTGCCCCGAGGGACACCCACAGAGCCTTATTTATGCTATGTTCGCATTCACATAGCCATCACTGCCATCAGGAGATGCAATGTCCTCTGCTCCCACGCCAGTGCCCTCCTCCTGCCTGGGTGCTTGCTGGCCTGATCCTCTCAGCAACAAAACCCACCATCAGGCTCTGTGCCCATGTGGCTTCTGCTCAGCCTGAGGGGTGTGCCTTGCTGGACCTCTGACCCTGTGCCATGCTCCTTGGCATGGGCTCCTCCTGAGGTGTGCTGGGTTGCACCCCAGGGGCTCCCTATGCTCTGCCTCCTTGGAGGATGCTCCCCAGAGAGTGACAGTATTTCCACAGAACTTTTAACATCAAGGATTAAGGATATGCCAATTATGGCCCCCAGTACTTAAATACCTAGCTCTGTACATAGTGAGCATGCAGTCTCACAGATGTGTGTGAAGGAACCAGCAAACAATAGCTCTGCTGTTTAAAGCACTCTGCACTCTGACCTCTTCTGTCCTGGTACAGAATCCAAGGCTGCACCTCAGCTCACAACCATCGCAGATCTTATGTCATCTGTTTTGCAAAAATGTGGGATGTGACCATATGGGAAGCTTTGATTTTTTAAAAAGAAGATTGTGTGAGTATTGTAAAGAGTCATTCACTACTAAACTGTCATTGGTGTGAGATTAGGATGCATGGGACACTTGTGATTCACAGGATCCGTGGAACACGTTAAAGCAGTGGCCTGTGGCGCAGCGAGATCTGGTGATGAGTACAAACCTGGATATGGATTTAAAAGCACCCGCGGATCCTGACGCACGTTTGGAGAGTGGATCTAGAACGTCCGGCTTGTCAGTGTCTCTATCACCAGCAAGGGCTCACCTGTCCCGCGCTCTCGCGTGACCTGCTGGGCTCGCCCAGGATGAGTGCCCTGGGATTGGGCTACCTGACGGGACCCCCTCCTCCTCTGCTGGGCGCCCACCCTGTCCACCCGGTCAGAGCAGCTTCCCGCCCTGGCATTCTGCCTCCGCTGAGGGTGGCCCTTGAACAGCGTCGGTGAGAAGGCTCCTCTTGCGGAACCCGTGAGGCTCCTGTTCCGGCCTGAGGACTGCTCCTCTGCAGCTGGAGACGCCTAAGGTGCTCCTGCCCTTCCGCTTCCCTTCCCAGCTGAGAGCCACGTCTGCGTGAGGATCAGACTTTGTGAAAGTCCCTCTCCACTTTTGTTCCCGTGAAGTCATTTCGAGCCTATGTAGCTTTATCAGCCTGTGGGACGGACATTTCCACTGTGTGTAGATCACGTCTAGTGAAATAAAGGGAAGCTTTTCGTTTTAGAAAGATAAGTCTCAGGATCTCTTTGTTACCTGAATGGCTGTGCACGGATCCGGTCACAGCAAAGCCCGTGGATAGCGTGTTCTGCGCTGTTAATCTAGGACAGTTCAGAACTTTGGGGGCACCCAGGGGCTGCTCCCATGTTCTGTCTCCTGAGGCTCAGAGGGCACCCAGGCCCCGTGGCTGCGGGTGCAGAGCTAAGCACGGGGTCTGGAGCCAGTTCACTGCACCTCTGGCCCTGCCGCCCACAGCCTTGTGATCCTGCACAGGCGGTCCACACTGGATGGGTGTCCTCTTGATGAATCGTGGGTGGTCAGACTCAGCTCAAAATGTTGCTGTGATGACCACATAACTTAATATGTACAGAATACTTAGCATGAAGCAAACCATAGGTGCCACATAAGTGTTAATTTTATCATATGTTGAGACTTAGTCTTGGGGAGCTGGAATCTTGATCCAGGGGCTAGACCCAGAGGAAATGGTGTGTTTGAACGTCCATTTTCCATTTCACTTTTCTGAAGGTCGATCCTTCCATTCAAAGTCCTAATTCTGTTTGTTTTGTTGCCCTGAGGAAATAAGAAATTAATAATTAAGCTGGTTAGTCATCTTTACCCTATTGTAGAATTTTTTCAGATGGCATATTCTGTGTGTACACTTTTTATTAATATCTGTTGGCAAAAAGAGCCCATCTGGGGAAAAACACTCCGTCTTATCAAAGAGGCAGGCTGTTTCTCAGGTTGCTGTTTCCTGCCATCCACCTGAATACATCACCCTGGCTTTCCTGCATCCCCAGCTTCTTGTCTCGTCCCTCTGGGGGCTGACTGTGATGAGGAGAAACCGGACCCAGCCTTTGCTCGTCTTCAGGGTTGGGAACTCCCTGAAGTCGGAACTGTCTCCTTTGCTCTGTGTATCAACAGCCAGTGCCTCCCTGGTACTAGTTCACCCCGAAGCTGCTCTTGACGTGTGGCTTTCCTGAGGCAGCTGCTCCACCCTGGTGCCCTTCTCAGGCTCCCAACAGAACCGACAGCCGAGAAGTAGCCCTGCCCACACCCCATCCAGCCATCTTAGCAAGGCAAGGATACCAAGAGTCCTCGAGGCGGAAAGGCCAGGCTCTGTACTGAGCGCTGCGGAAGCTGAAATTCACGTGCGGAAAATTAAATTGGACTCCAATACTGTGCCCAAAATCAACCAACATCAACATAAGACACGAAACGGTAGAGCCACTAGAAAAAAAATGCAGTGACATCGTCTTGTCAAAGATTCCTTAGACACGGCAGCAAACACACCACAAAGAGTGTAAAAAAATAATAGGAAGGAACTGGTATTCTAGAGATTTCATGGTTCCTGTCACACAAAGTTTCTAAAATACCAGATTCATAGAATCTAAGGTAGCCTGGTGATGGCCAGGTGCCGAGGGCAGGAGAGCAGGAGATCACGGAGCAACAGGCCCACGTTGCAGTCAAGCCCTACAAATGAGCTCCAGAGCTCACGTCCAGCTCCGTCCTGTGGTCACCAGCTCCATGCCAGGCAGCTCCCTTGTTAAGGGTCCTTTTCACAATAATGTTTACAGGGGAAAAGTAGGGAGGAGGGGAGGGGAGGAAGGGGGGAGGGGAGAAGGGGAGAAGAACAGGAGGAGGGGAGGTGGGGGAGGAACAGAAGAAGCGAGGAAGGTAAGGAAGGGAGGGGAGAAAGAAAGACTTCCTGATTTTTAAAGCTATTCTCTAAAAGTTCGGGATTCATTTGAGTGTCTCCCCACCAAGAGGCCAGCAGAGCAGACTGAGGGGCTGCCCACCATGGGAGTGACCTTCACCTCTGCTTGGGCTGGGCTAGAGAAGCTTCCTCCTCAGAGGGGCACCGTGTAAGGTCTCTTCTGCTTCTGTGCCCAATGAAGCATGCCACACTCTGACCCCAAAGCCACTGGGTGGATATAGTGTTCCCTCCAGTCCCCAGAGGCTGCTGAGCAGGTCAGCACAGAGCGGCGATTCTGCAAAGCTCTCTGAAACCCTTTGAGGTCTCTGAGGTCCGTGTTCCTTGTTAGGTCTTGGTAGGTCTCCTGTGTGCCCCTCACATGGGGAGTGTGCTGGCCCTGCTGTACTCCCCCCCCCCAGATGCTCATTCCCCTGTGCTCTTCCACCTGATTGAGTTCCTCTGTGCACCTTATGATGGGGTCAGCCAAGACGGCCGACCAGAACAGGAGACCTCCTAGGACCTTCCATCCCTGCAGGTGGGTGAGGCTCAGACAGAGGGGAGATGGAAGCCTGTGGGGATGTTGGCCAGTGGTGGCCTTTCACCTACGACACAGATGTGTATATTTGGTTAGTTGTATCAATAATAAAGACATCATTGTTCTGGAGAAAACAGAGGAAGAACTGCATCAGGGGATCAGGAGAAATTTAAATGAGTTCATTCAGAGCCAGCTGTGGGTCTCTGCCCTCCACGGTGCCTCTCCAGGGCTTCCTCCCTCCCTTCTGTCTGTGAGGCTCTGTGGGTGGTCTGTGTGGCCTCGGGAGAGTCTCTAGTCTCTAGACTCTGGTTCCCAGTCCCAAGAAAGCAGCTCTCCAGGAAAGGTGTGTGCCCGAGCAGCACCCATCAGGGCTCCTGGGTCCAGCGGTGGTCTCCACGGATCACAGGTGTGGACAGCTCCATGGTTTGTAAGATGGGAACAGGTGAGCTGGAGAGGTGCATATGGACACTTGAGGAGGTGGTCAGCACCCCGTCCCTGTGTTCTCCATGAAACATTGCCCTGTGCAGGGCAAGGAGCCACACGCCCTCACACACTCCACTGCCAGCACTAGGCCAGGGTGCCCCAGCAGCTGCAGGATGGATAGAAACCGCCCTAGGATGTCACAGTCCATATTGGCCAGGTGTTGCCCACTAACTGACATCACACCGGAGCGATTCACAATTGCAAACTAGTGCGTGGTGTTCCCTACATTTGTGCCTTATGTACATGACCTTTGTAGATAAATTAACATAGAGTAACCCACATCTGATCAGAGCATCACGCTCTCCTAAATGGCTTCATGTTAATAAGTGGGAAATGTGATAATGACTCTGTGACCAGAGGAACAGGCCTTGTCTGTGCCTGGACTGTGCCTGCCTGAGGGCACTGGAGAAGAGGCCACACCCAGGTCTGAGACCAGGTTAGGCTGAGACCTTCTGATCCTTCAGGCACATTGTAATTTTCTCCACCACGTTGTTAGTGCTGGTGTGACCCCGGCCCTGTGTTACTGCGGTGCTAAGGCCGATGGCGTGCTGTGTTGCCTGTCCCTGAGCCACGGGGCTGGCAAGTGCTCTGACGTCATGATGGCACTTGTCAGCTGGAGCCAGGCAGCTTAGCAGCAAGACCCCGTCACTGCCATCAAGGCAGGCTTTGCCAGGAGGCGCTGGCCCTGGTGCCTGTCTTCAGGCAGCCGGCAGGCACCTTCCCAGCAGCAGGCCGACCCCGAGGGCCCAGGAACCTGGCTGCAGCACCCCTCTCTCCTGGGCTCTGGTGGCCCCTGGCACTCACGCTTTCCCATCCCTGGGCAGCAAAGCGGAGTCCCCTGGTCACCTTCCCTGGAAGCTTCCTTGTGAGCAGACACAGGAACGTGTGCTGAGGTCCGAGGAGCGGACAGGAGCCCAGGATGTGCACTCCAGCCCCACCCACCCGGCGGCCATGGGTCCCAGCTCCCCCAGCTCCGAGGGTGGAGCCTCCTGGTTGTCTTAGTGCCACATCTTTGTAGGACACCACAGCACTGTCCTTGCCCTTCGCATCACCGCCTACTTCCCAGGGTCGAGGGCCTCCACTCCAAGCTGAGCAGATGGGGGTCTTCCTGCTTCTTCCTGGGTTTCATGTTTGGCTGTTTCCTTTAACCCCTGGCCAAAGCCCCCAGTCGTCACAGTCAGAAACACTCGTCCTCATGTGACAGACCCCACTTGTCACCCAGCGCAAATTGCTCTTGGAGAAGCCATCCCCGCCCCTCCCCAGCCCGGCTCCTTTACCTGTAGGGAGTGGTGAGGCGCGGGGTCTCTGGAAGAAGGCGTGTGCCCGTCCCTGGGGTTTCCAGGAGCATTGCTGAAGCACGTCGGCATGTCCTCCTTCAGGTGTGCGCAGAGGTGGCTGCAGCCACCACCTCTGGTTCTTGTCCATTCTGTGTCAAGATCCGAATTAGCTCCAAAGGCGAGCTGAGACATTTCCCCTCCTATTTTTTGCATTGATTTCTTTAGACTTGGAAGACCAGCCCACTAGAAACACGGACAGAGTGGAACAGCCCCAGGTCCGCCTCCCTCTCTGTCTTGGGAAGGCCTGTGCTGGGAGTGCCCGTCCTTCAGAACCTCTGCCCTCTGGCTGGACGGTCAGACAGGTCCAAGGACAGCTGTGAAGGCCGTTGGCAGATGTAGGCTAGTCCTAAGTCAGCTGGCACCTATCACCTGGCCCAGCCGCTGGACCCTGCACACAGGGCATTTCCTGCCCATGGTGGACCAGGACGGGGCACAGAGGACTCCTGTGAGGAAGACGCCACAGTCCTTGCTGATAGCATCTGCAGAAGCCTAAACTGTCCCCAAAGGACACTCAGCAAGGAAGCAGAACAGCACCCAGAACGGGATCCCGCCGACTCCGGAAGCCAGGCGGGTTCTCCCCAGGAGACTCCGGGCACATCCAGCGGGCTGGCCCCTGGACTTTGGCCTCTCGTATGCCAGACACAGAACTCAGCCCGGCTCCCAAAGTTCTGACCAAGAGAACTATGTGCCACTGAAGGGTGATTTAGCTGCCAGCCCTGTGAGATGTGTGCCAAGCTCTCCTCAACTCATGGGTGGTGGTGGGGTGGACGCAGGTGACCTGTTTTAACCCTCTGTACAATGCTAATGCATTATTAAATGATAATTAAGTAGGTCTAATACATCTTATTATAACATCGACTATGTAATTTTGTACACATGTATATGTTTGTAAAAATTACATTTTAAAATTTAAAGATTAAAATTAAATTTAAGAAAATAACATTTTGATAGTCTTATTTGTACCAGGTGGGTATTAGCAAAATTGTGGAATCAAAATAAGATGTGCCATATGACTGGCTTTGTGCCTCGGCCTCACAGGACTTCACCTGGACTTTGAGCTCTCCCTGTGAGGCCAGCTGGATCCTGAGAGGACTGGAGGCCGTCAGGGACACAAAGGCTCCTGGTGCATCAGCTGACCCTCCTCAGACTTCATTGTGCAGAAGCCTGAACAAGCTCTTTGGAGGTTAAAAGGTGTCAGCCGGAGATGTTTCTGTTTTCCTCCATGAACTGAGTTTCCTCTTGGAGACATCTGCTGTCACCAAGGCTAGGACCCGTTGGAGAGATGCTGAACAAGTGGGTGGCAGCCATGAGTCTTGTGGCCAGTGCCCTCCAGGAGAGAGGGTCTGCCACGGGTCTGCTCGGCAGAAAGACCCAGCTCCCAGCTCCTTCAGGTGGCCCCAGCGTCAGAGGCTCCGTTTGACCCAAGTCAGCGGAGCCTGGAGCAGCCTGCCTGCGGGGATGGGTGAGGTGGGCCACCTGTGGCAGTGGCCAGCCACGTCCAACTCCCCTGCCCCCCGGTCCTGCTTCCTCTCAGAGGACAGTCACCTCCTGCACCCTGACCTCCACCTCTCTGACTACTTCCACAGAGCCCAGCTGGGACGGGAATGGCCACAGCTGCTGAGTGGGCAGGTGACGGGAGGGCCTGGGGAGGGGAGCAGGGCAACCCCTCCCTTCTGGCAGATGGTGGCTCCTGTGGGCACTGTGCACCACAGCCTCTGCTCGGTGCCCAACACAGACCACTCTGCCCGCAGGCAATGAGTGCTGTCTGAGGTCCTGCTCAGCAGGGAGCCCCCCCCCCTGACAGGGGGTTGCCAGGACCCTGCTGGACACCCAGCTATTGTGAAAAGCCATCTTGATACCTGCAAAGAAAACACAGCTGACGGTGGGACTGTTTTGCTCTTCATTATTTTGAATATGAGAAGCAGTGTGGACTCCGAAGTGAGCCAAGCAGGCTCGGCCCTGCCAACCGGGGCCCCTGTGTCTGCAGCCAGCCTCCACCCGGCTCTGTCCACCGGATGTTGGCAAGGCTCCCTTCGCTGGCGTAGCTGCGTACCTTGGAGACCATGGATCTGTGTTCTCGAAACCGAAGGGTCCAAGCCACCAATTTCCAACCAGAAGTGCTCCGACAACGCCTCCTCCCGACTTCCACCCCTTACATTCTCACGCTTTTCATTCCTTTCTTTTCCCCGTCACTGCTGGGTCTCTGCACCTTCCCACCCCTGTCCCCTGGCCTCAGTGGGGGGACTTACTGTGCACAAAGAAGTGTGGCAGTGACTTCTAAACGTGGTGTGGAGCTTCAGGTGACTACGCAGGTCAAAGCGGTGCAGCAGAGCCGGGTGCCACCTCGTTGTCCGCACACCATGGTGCTGTCCTGCCTGCTGGCTGAGGCGGGATGGACCTCTGTGCTGTCCTCGCTGGCTTCCGCCTCACCTGCCAGGCTCCAGGTCCCCCTCTGACACTCAAGGCTCCTCGCTGTGGCACCAAGGACACCACCCACCCTGGGACTCTGAGCACCAGGCAGCCTGGGCTTTCCTTAAGCTTTTCCTCAGGAGGCTCTGCAGATCCCGGAGAGGCCTGGTGAGTCACGGTGGAGCTAACAGCTTCTCTTCTCAAAATCAGCCTGAGGAGGTTAGACAGTCAGGGCAGAGCAGAAGACACGCAGCACAATCACCCCAAATGGCCCAAGTCCAGAGAGCACAGCTGGCAATCCTCATCAGGAAGGAGTAGGAGAGCGAGCAGGCATCCCCCAGGAGGGGACGTCCCTGCTTGGAGGAAGACCTGGACCACAGTCCTGTGTGAGAGCAGCCGGGGGGACTGATGCTCAGTGCTTACGGCACCTGGCTCTTTGTGAGCGGGGGACATCCCTCTGGGTGCATCTTGTGTGTGGTCCTGACTTACTGGACTTATGGAAAGAGGGTGCTGGGAGGGCAGCGAGGGCGGAGAAGGGGTGAGCCAGACCGGTGGCAGGAAGACCAAAGAGCTTCTTGTGGATGCAGGAAGCTGCAGGAGTTCTTATGTGGGGGAATTGAATGAAGTTTCTTGATGTGAGTTCGGGGTTAGATGGAAGGACAATGAGGACAGCAGGGGTCTGGGGAGCTCGGGATTCCAAGAAGCTCCTGTGGGGCTGGTGGCTGCACGTGGGCTGCTGTGGCAGAACTCGGCAGGCCAAGCAGCTCAGCAAGAGCAGGATTCCTGCTCACAGCCCGAAGCCTGGCCGTCCAGGACCGAGGCACCTGCAGGTCTGTGTCTGCTGAGGGCCACTTCCTGGGCACAGAGCCACCTTGCTCTTGTCCTCACAGGGTAGGAGGGGTGCCACATAGCTCACCACCTCTTTTAGAAGGGCACTGACCCCATGTGTGAGGCTGCACCCTGATAAACTGGCCACCTCCCAAGGGCTCCACCAATCCTCCCCCCCCCACGACCAGGATCAGGTTTCAGCGTTTAAATTTCAGAGGACACAAGACTCAGGCCACAGCAGTGAGGGTCCACGTATCCCTAAGAGGTGTCTGCAGGGGCAGTGCTCAGAGTTGCCTTCTTCAGATCATGTCGACTCCACACGGAAGCCATCAGCTTCTTTTCAACTGTAAAAACAAATTCCAGAGGAGCCCCAACATGGTGGGTGAGAGAGAGGCAGCACTCTGTGTCGCTCCTGACCTGGGACTCAAGTAGTGGGAGTGACAGAGGACCCCAACAGTTGCTCCTGACAGGAATCATGGCCGCCCTGCCCACGGGGCTCCAGACCTCAGATTCAGAGCAGGACGCCTAACTGCTTGCCCACACTGGGCTCCAGGTGTCCCAGCAGGACCATGGACATCAGCACCGTGCAGGACGCCTGTGTCCACCTTCGCAGGAACTCTGGCCGCCACTCCTGTGTGGACCCCCATCTACCAACGTGGGACTCACCTCAGTCACCTCCATTTTGGGACTCTGCGGCCAATGCCATAGTCCCTACACGCGGTACCATGCCTGCACCAGGAGACATCACACAGGCCCTGAGCACAGCCGACAGCCACACACTGCACCCCACAGAGCTGTGTCTCTGAACACATCACCCAATGCCCCCCCCCATCCAACTCCTCATTACTAAAGCAGCCGCCTCCATCTTAGGTCACCTTTATTGCCATCTTTAGTTGGGACAACTCGCAGTTTGAAACACCGGCTGGGCAGGTATATTGTAGATAATAATTGAACTCACCATTTCTGTATATTGTGACCAAACTGTAAACATCTTAATAGCAACTATTTGGTTTAAGGCTGTGTATTGTTTGTATTGGGTTCTGGTCACATTGTCCTTCACCTCAGAGGAGAGGTATTGGAACCCTATGGGGACACTATAAGCCTATAGGGTAAAAATGGTGACACCTCAGATCCGCAGTGCTAGAAGGGAAGACACAGGAACAACATGAAAAAACAAGGGAATAAAGTGCCCCAAACCAATCAAGATGCTACATTATTAGAATCCAAGGCCAGCACAGCAGAAGAAATGGCAGAGAAGGAGTTCAGGAGGTACATAATTAAAATGTTCTGTGAATTGAAGGATGATATAAGAGAGCAAATACCGGCAGCAAAAGATCATTTTTATAAAGAGCTACATAAGCAAATACAGGAAGCAAAAGATTACTTCAATAAGGAGATAGAGGTTCTGGAAAAAACAAACAAACAAACAGAAATCCATGAAATGAAAGAAGCAACAAACTAAATTAAAAGCTCAATTGAAAGAATCACCAACAGATTAGACCCACTTGGAATTCAGAACCTTGGACAATGAAGACAAAATATATAATCTTGAAAAGAATGTAGACCACACAGTGAAGATGGTAAGAAACCATGAGCAGAACATTTAATAAATATGGGATAGTATAAAAAAACCAAATTTAAGAGTTATCAGGATAGAGGAAAGCATAGAGTTACAAACCAAAGGAATGAGCAATGTATTCAGTGAAATAATGTCAGAAAATTTTCCAAACATGAAGAATGAATTGGAAAACCAAATACAAGAGGCTTATGGGATGCCAAATGTACAAAATTACTGAAGATCCACACCAAGGCACATCATAATGAAAATGCCTAACATACAGAATAAGGAGAGAAATTTAAAAGCCAAGAGAGAAAGGAATCAGATTACATATAGAGGGAAACCAATTAGGGTATCTACAGGTTTTTCAACCCAGACACTGAGAGCTAGAAGATCCTGGAACAATATATATCAAGCCCTGAAAGAAAATGGATGCCAACCAAGAATCTTTTATCCAGCAAAAGTAAGCTTTATATTTGATGATAAAATAAAAACCTTCCATGATAAACAAAATGTTAAAGAATTCACAACTAGAAAGCCTGCACTTCAGAATATCCTCAGCAAAATATTCCATGAGGAGGAAAGGCAAACTGACAATAAAAATCAGCAGATGGAGGTATTACACTAAAAGAAAAACTAATCAAAGGAGAAACTAAGTCAAGTTAAATACCAAAAATAAACAAAAATGGCTGGGAATACAAATCATGTCTCAATAATAACCCTGAATGTTAATCAGGGTTATTAACCAAGACATAGACTGGCAGATTGGATTAAAAAACCACCACCAACAACAACAATATAGAAAAAGACATCCACAGACTGGAGGTGAAGTGTCAGGAAAAATCATACCACTCATATGGACTGTGGAAGCAAGCAGGGGTGTCCATTCTCATATCAAATAAAGTAGACTTCAAGCCAAAGTTAATCAAAAAGGAAGAAGGACATTTCATACTGCTCAAGGGAA